GTTTAACATTAGGCGGACACCGCACCCGTAGAATAAAAGTGCGAAGATCCGGTCTACACACGACACGCTATACCAGGTACAGGTACGAGGTAACAAAAACACCGGTCTAGTACCCGTTGGACCCGCAAAACCTGGGCGTTTTTCCCCGCTCCCCACGACAACGGCTAACTAGAGCCCAGGTCCGAGTCTCAGAGACGCCCTCTAGTTGAGCCGACCCCCCAGGTTAGAGTGGTCTAGAGGCTCAAAACGGAGAGGACACTCCCCCCATGGGGAGATTCCATCCGCCTGGAATACCTCTAGAGGTACTCGCCAATTCTCGGCTTGAGGTCCCCTTAGGATCTCGCCGACCCCAAACCCGGTGACTCTGTGAAGGTCATCTGCGACCAACAACATACACACCCAAAAAAAAATCTAGCTCTGAGAAGCCACGAGAGAAAAAATAAAATTGTACTTACCGAATATGTTTTTGTTTTCTTGTTATCCTAAAAATTTGAAATTTGGTGAGTTTATTGTACTAGTACGTTCTAACAATCACAAAAATATTAATAAATAAGATTCTTTATTTGAAAATCCCAGATCCTTCCTATTACAAACTTTTTTTTTTGTTATGTTTTTATGTTTTTTTTTTAAATTAAGTCACAATTTTTATATCATTTACATTTGTAATGAAAAGTGACTTCAAGAGTTATTTCATATTGAAGTTATTTTTCCATTCGACGACTCTGTATATCATACAGGTAGAAAAAAAACAGCCCTTGCTGAGTTTCTTGCCGGTTCTTCTCTGTACAAGGTCTCCCGCCGTAGATTTGCGAACCGACGGCCTAGCTTTTCGACATTCAGTGTCTGTAACAACGTAGACTGAATAAAATATATTGAATTTTCTTTTTACAACTAACTTAGTTTCTAAATAAGCTAAGACCGATACGTACCTGTCGATTTCCTACTTTTGCATTCAACAAACATCAAGAGTAAGCCGTTACATTTATATTAAGATCACGTTACTTTATAAAGGAAATAATTCCTCATTTTGACAAATGGCAAAATATAAAACAGGATGCAAGTAGCCCACTTTCGGATGACTTTTGCAAACTGGTTTCGATATTAGTAAAAGTAGCATTAAATTACGGTAAGTAGGTGCATTCTGTATGTTATGGGACCGTTATCATTGAATGTATATTACATTTATTAAACAATGATATATGATCATAATGATATAAATGCGTATACGGTACAATGTGCACAAAACGGTTATACGAGATATGAGAATAGACCTGATACGGCTGAGAAGTCTTCGAGATAACCAGTTTATATATAAATAGATTTCAGTAGGTTTTATTTTAATTTTATTAATAAATGGATTTTTTTTTGTTTCTTAGGTTTTCACGCACATCACTCATTAAATAAAACTAGTTTTTACGGGTTAATGCACGAAACTTTATTTATTTATTGACGTTTCGCAGCCTTTTCAGGTCTGCATCGTCAGAATAATGATTTTTTATTTAAAATTGTCGAGCTACCTTCGAAAGACTTATATTGAGCGTTCGGTTATTTCATTGGAAGATTTTTATTTTGTAATTTTGAGTTTATTTATTTGACCCTAACTACCGTAAACTACCACCGGTTCCAAAATTGGGAGACCTTCTTGAGAAGAACCGGCGAAACAAACTCAAGAGAGGCTTTCTATCTCCTTCTTATGTATCAATAAATAAATAAAGTTTCGTGCATTAACCCGTAAAAACTAGTTTTATTAAATGGATTTTCCTTTTTTATATGGGTAAGACACGCTTCTTTATAACATCGTGTCAATCGTGAAGAAGCGTAATATTAGTTAAGGGAAAAAGTTTCTTCGCAATTTACATGATTTTTTTTTTAATAAAGTTTAATAACATTAAAGTAAAGTATGTAGGTGCCATTTTGTTCGATAACTTATTGCTATGTTGTGGGTAGGGACATAATCCCATTGTTATATAAATGGGGTTTCTGATCAAAAAGTGGTATTGTCAGTACTCTCGTGATCGTATCAAAAAGTCCAATCAAGGACCATAGAGAATTAAATTTTGTATTGTGAGAATTTTGTATCGAAACCAGCTTTCAGTTATAGACGAAACAGAGGATACAAGGGGTGCCGGTTTTTCTACGTAGTCGAAGGAAGACCAGTTAAGGCCCTTTGTTAAACCATATAAAAGGGGATTATCGCATTTGATGAAGGCCTCAAGGCCAGAGGCCGCCACAACGTAGTGTGTTTAACCCAGTTAGTCGACAAAACTTTGCACCACACATCCGCCCCAAGAAATGTTGGTAAACTCTTATCTTATGTGCGGAGTAAAGTGAGTTGGCGCTTTCTATAAATGTTTTTTAAATAATCCGAAATAAATATGAGTTCATTGAATTATATAACCGTTGTTTATAATTACAACAAATTGTGGTTATTCGATTTATTTAGTTATTCTGTAAAAGAATACATCTTCATTGTGTTTACAGTGCCTTAGAAGTATCAAAGGCACGGCAGTGCATATTACTGCGTTTATGTCGTAGAATGATATAGTAAATCGATTTTTTGTGAAAATCCTAGGGATTTTGCGCAAACACGGATAATTAGACAATGGCGATGACATATCACAGCTCAGCTCAGCGTAATCTTACCAGAAGAAGAAAATCACCGGAAAAATATTGGACAGTTAGATCACATGAGTAAACAAACGTAGAGTAATGGTTAAATTACACTTGGTGGCTAGCCCGAATACGAGTGGTAATGGAACTCGAGTAAACGACAAAAGTGTAAATGAACGTAGTCCAGGGGGCTAATCGCCTAACTGGATTGCTTTGGAAAACGCTATCGCTTACGATTTCATTTTGTTATTTCTAGCCCCCTGAGGTTTTCAAATGCCTCGCGCTCTTTTTTTTTCTTTTGCATTGGTAATAACAATGTTAAAGAAAATGAGCGTGAGGTATTTCGGCGGTTAGAAATAACAGAATGAAATCGTAAGCGATAGCGTTTTCCAAAGCAATCCAGTTAGGCGATTGGCCCCCAGTACTCCCGTATTCGGGTAGTTTTCGTTTTGGTTACTCGACACCATCTTCCAGTGCGTATTCCAGTGTAAATATTGCTTCGGGTGCCCGAATTCGAGTAATGTCTCTCGTGCACTCAAATACTGGCTAACGACCAAGGGTAATCGAACCATAAGATTGAGCAATGACATCACCATTGTCTAATTACTTACTATACGCGTTTTCGCAGAATCACTAGATTTTTTTGCGAAAATTCGATTTATCAAATTATAGTACGACATTATTATTTATTTATTTATTTTTATTTTTAAACTTTATTGACCAAAATATAAATATATAAAATTGGTGCAAAAGGCGGACTTAATGCTAAAAGCATTCTCTCCCAGTCAACCTCTGGGAAAAATGAAAAACACGAACGAATATTATTTACATTATATGCTGAATGTACGAAAGAAAAAAAACTCCGCTCTTTCTCCATATAACCTCTTTTATACTAAATCTCGCTCATCTATGTGCAAAACTTTGCTTGAAAAAGCATACGAAAGTTCAGATTTTCGTAGCGAAACTGAGGAAATTTTTGAAGTCACTAACTTCTGTCTTCTAGTTACCCATATAGAAAAAACCTTGCTATTGTCATTGTGAATATAATTTATGTGGACAACATAGGTACAATTACGATTTTATCAAAACTATTGTGTATTATAAATTCAGATCGGCAAATTTACTAACATTACAAAAATGAGTAAGTAGGTATCATTTTCCAGTTATAATTTTGTTGCGACCGTGACTTCACTTTTTGATTAAATTTTGCAACCTATAAAATTTTTGCATATATACTGATTCCAGTAAAATAAAATCTCATTTCCGATTTCGGTAGCTGCCATTTTAGACATTAGTTTGATATGCATTACGCCATTACACGGCAAAAAGCCGCTATGTCTGTAGAAGCAGCCAGTATTAGATATTTGTCATGTGTCAGAAATCAGAATATATGAGGTCGTAATTAAGATTGCATCTTACAGAAAACCTATACTGTACTGAGAGCAAATGAATATATGACTGTATGTTATTAACTTAAATATGCTGTAAGGTAATAATGACGTAATAATTTAGTCGCTGCGGCATAAAAATCTTTTGAGACTTGGCACTAAATTAAAGTAACTCATTTAGTACGATTGCTTCTAAGAACATGAAATGTCCTGGCTTTTAGAACTTTGATTATAACTGGTGATATACGAGTATGTTGTCCGGAACGGAAACTATCTTTCGGACATTTGTTTGCTGATTAGGGGGTTCTCATTTAGTTATTGCAAATAATTATGTATCCTTACTTATAACGTGTTTTTCCCAAAGTCAATACTTTTACCTTCATTTGCATTTCTGAGCACAATTTACAGTTTTTATTTACAGTTAGTGATTGCTGCAAAGCATTTTAAAGATATTAAAACTTATAACAGCTTAAATAAAACAAGTTTCAACGGGTTAGATGCACTGATTTTATTTATTTATTGACGTTTCGCATCCTTTGCTGGAATGCGTTGTCGGAAAGTCGGAATTCCGACGACGCATTACTGATTTTATTTATTTATTGACGGTTCGTATCCTTTGCAGGATTGCGTGGTCGGAATTCCGACTTTCCGACGACGCATTCCTGCAAAGAATGCTAAATATATAAATAAAATCAGTGCATCTAACCCGTTGAAACTTGTTTTATTTAATGAGTGATGTGCGTGAAAACCTAAAGAAACAAATATTATAACAGCTTGTTTCAACTTAAAATTAATTTCATCTAAAGTGCGAGCATAACACACCGAAACTTTTAATTGTTACATGTTTAAAACGATATCATATTTAATTGTGGGTTTGGCATAGTATCAAATGTATGGTGAAAAAAGGTTATCGAGCTCCACGGGGTAGGGGATAGGATAAGGGTAAGCAATGTGCGAGTGACACTCTAGTTTTTTTATGTTAAAAAGGAAGCAAACAAACGTATGGCCTGCCTGATGGTGAGCGCCCACCGAAGCCTATAGACGCATGCAATACCAAAAATATGTAAATATCTACCCTAACCCTACCACGGAATCCTGGAAACTTACTCACTGACCGGCAAAAAGTAAAAAGAAATATATACCTATATGAAGAAATTTAAGTTTTAGTTGGACATTTTACTAAGTCCAAGCGAATTTGAAATAAGTACAATCAGGCAAATTATGTTTGCTAGCTGTTATTTCAATTGATAATAACATTTTGAAAAGTATAGTTGATTACTTAGTCTGTGGTTAGAATCCGTAATGATGCACTGTCGGAATGGCACAGGAAACGCAGCTCAGTCTTAAGTCCTACTAAGAATTTAAATTAAGAATAGACTTCTTTTTTTTTAAGTTTTGCCCGATTTTATATATTTTTATAATCCACTATTTATTATTATTTTGCTACTACAACGTCGACTCCTTTGTGAATAACTGTTATTTGTCTACATATAAACATTGAGGCAGCTTCCGCGACGTCACTCTCCACCGAGACTGCGCACGCGCGGACGCGTTCCCGCGCTTTTTTGACGTTTTATTTTTTCCGTGGAAAAAAGCTTACGGCGAGTGCTTTTAGTTTTTAATTGTTGTGCGTCTGTGGAAGCGGCCAGTAAAGCGTAAGTATAGAGGCGGTCGTTCACATTTTACAAAAGTGGGTCATGCTTCCTTTGTTGTGGACATTTAACGGAACACTTTTACGCCGCAGCGTTTAACAGTGATTTTTTTATTCTAGAATCAAGAATTTAATAAGTTAATTTTTTATATTATTATTTTTCCATGATAATCATAATCATTATATTGAATAGTGAACTTACTTTCAAAATAATAAATTTACTTAATTAAAAAAAAACTTTGGAGTGAATCCCACATTTTTTTAATGTAATCATAAAGCGTTAAAATTTTTATTGTCAAATTAGGTTTCTATACAACATTTATCATTGTGTTTTTTCCACAAAATAGGTGGTGATTTTATTAATGCAAATAATCGCGTCCTTGTGAGATCCGGTTTTAAGTCAATTAATATTAGATGGCGACTCATCCGCGGCAACACGTTCTGTCCTTTAATTGAAATATAAAAAATATATCTATACTAAAATCTTCGCGTTGTCAAAAAGTATATTTTGCCGCTGTCCTGAACCGACCTTGCAATCTAGAATTGAATTTTTGACTACGGTGTCATTTAAGCTAGGTTTTTTTACGTAAAAATAGTTCGTAACTTTGAAACAAGTATATTATGCTTGATGGTAAGCGGTCACCATAAGGTTCCAGCGAGTGACACACTTGTATCGCAAGCGTATCCAATTATACGCTTATGATACAAGTGTGTCACTCGCTCGTTGCCTGCTTTGACCCCATGTGGAGCCCGGGAACCTTATTTACCGATAAGAACATAAAGGTATAAGGTAAGGCTTAACGTAACTGTAAGGCTGACTTCCCCAAGTGGGCGTACCAATTTAAGCAGTAAAGAACTCGTCATATTTTGGGGTACATACGTAATCCGGCCGGCATAGTCGATTCGGTAGTATTTGTCAACAATAAAGGCGACCCGAAATAATTACTGAAGAACATTCAACTACATATATTCGATTTTACCGGCCGGCTGTGCCGATTAATTACGGCCCGCTAATGTGTGCAGCTACCCTTCCCCTCATAACATCTCAAATACATAAAAAAAAAACATAGTACTGTTTGTTATTTATAGGTATCAAGTCAATATAAATCCATACAAATCCATACTATTATTATAAAATCGAGTGTGTCTTTCTGTCTGTAACCTTTTCAAACTTAAACCACCGAACCGATTTAAATGGGCTTTTATTCGCGTTTGGATTTTATCACCACTTAACATCAGGTGGGGTAGAGTCATTTGCCTACCTCGCTATATAAAAAAAATGGGTTTGGGTATAGAAACAGCCTAAGCCTAAGTGTCGGGAAACCTACGATAGCTTTTAACCCAGAAATATTTGATCAGATCTTTTGAGGGGCCGTAAAATAAAGTTTGTAAGTGAAATAAAATTTTCCACTCAGCCGAAGTCGCAGGCACCCACGAGTTGTATGAAAAAATTTCTCTGCGAGGTGCGAGTGTAACGTACTGGCCGGAAAGCCGTTACTTGCAGTTCTAACATGCGATTCCATGTAATGATCCGTGCGAGACTTAACACGTCTAGTAAAAAGTGGTAACTATCATTTCTCGACAGCAATGCATCCGCGATTTCTTTTGTCTACATTGAAGGGTGTAGTTTATGACGTGTTTATAACAGGAGCAGTAAAAAACTAAATGACATACCTACAGTGAGCTTTTGGCGTGATTTTTAATTTAGTAATTTTAACACTGTCAACACTGTCAAATTTAGTAATTGTAACAAAACTTCCGGGCTGTAAAAATAAAGTATTTTAATGGTCTAAACCATATGCGTAATTATACCGTTTCACATTTTTAATCGACTTCAAAACGGAGGAGGTTTTCAATTCGGCCAATGTGTTTTTTTGTGGTTTTTAATTTTTAAATAGCAAATCTGTACGTTAGGTCATTTTGAGAAAGTTTTATTTTAATCCGAAGATATAACGAATCATGGAAACAAGGCATACTCATTTTCAATTCAATGCGGTTGATGTTTTGAAAGTATGCATTTTATATCGAGTTATAGGTACTGACTATATAAGTATCCTTGACTATAATAAAAATATAGAACTTAAAGGTATGTGTATAAAATGTCAAAAAATATCGTACGTGTAGTAAATTTCCTACAATTTGTAAAAACTGCAATTATTCAAATTTTTACAATGTGTAGGGGCTTACATATCACATATCAATCAAATTAAAAAGGCGAACTTGAATGACTGGATTTGATAATTTTGATTAAATATTGACTGACAGAAGTCATAATACGAGTAACTTTATGACAAGTAGGGGAGAGGGACATTAGCATATTTTTCATACTTGGACTCATAAAAAATCAACTGTAAAGAGAAATTGAAAAAACATAGTTTTCTTAGCTTACTTACTCCTTTGTTAATATAAAACTGATGAAATGTTTGAATTTGCTGAAAACCTTAAAGAGAAATAATGTGTTCTTTTAACACAAAAATTGTTCAAATCTGCCTCCCCAGGGTGGCACATTTGAATCGACGTGGGGTAGTTTTGAACAAGGGTTAAAAATCAGAAAAAAAGAGAGGATAGAGTAATAATTTGTCTTTATTATAATGATATTTATTGTTATTAAAATATAAAATAGACTTATACGAAACTTCTAAAGTTACATTTGCATTGCAGTAACAAAAATAAAAGAAGCAATTTTTAATTGCGTCTGACTTCCTCCTTGTTAACAATAGTAATCATATTGCACAATAGTTTTAGTTTATTGTTATTATAATTATATTATACTGCCTCAGACGCAAATTTAAACATAAAATAAAATTAAAATCAAACTTCTACACCACAAAAAAAGTCGTTCTAAAAATAGTTCACTTCTTGGAGCTATGTTTTCCTGATATTTTTTAACTTGATAGAAGAGTGTACTCGGCGTCAGTCCATATGCATCTACGACTCTTCTTAGTTCCATAGTTCCGTTGATGACGCATAAAACAGCATTTTGGACATCTTCATTAATTGTACTTTCCCGCTTAGTTTTGTATGTTCTAACCAATCCATAAATAATGAATTACAGTTAGATGATGCATTTAATTACAATTAAGTATTACATTAAGAATGCATGTAAATTATTAGTAAAAAAATGAGTTTATTAGTAAACATTTGAAGTTTGCATTTGAACGTCCTGTTCATACCTGCCCCGTATGTTTTGATCAAATCTGCCCCATGGTCAGTTGGAAGATAAAAAATTACAAAAAAATAATGTGAAATAACTGGCAAGCAAAAACTACAAGATGGATTGAAAACTAATACGTACTGCACAATTTTGTGAAAGAATTCGTTGGAAACCTTTACTCACGTGATAGTAAATCCCTTCCAACATTTATTTTTATTTTTTACTTCACCGGTACAAATACCACGACAGGTTATAAATGTTTTTGAAAACGAAAAGTGCTGCCAATATTAAAATGTAGTTACGGCATAAATTAACATTCAGTTACATGTTTACATTACATTACATGTTCAAATCTGCCCCTGTGCTAAGATGCCTCCTTCTCCCCTACTTTCTTTTTACTAAATTTTGAAGTAATAATTCCATTAAACAAGCACAGCGACTCAGATAACTTTCTTATTATGAAATCTGTTGCAACTCCAATAATAAATTACATGTCTTGTTATTTCCAGATTATATAATTGAAAAAATGCGCTGCTTTTTACTGGGTAAGTTTTAATCGAAACTATATTTTTTGTTAACGAGTTCGTCTACTCGAGCTTTGGAATTATAATTATAAACCGCAGGGAATCGTTAGGTGAACAAAACCCTAAATTTCAGCCTTATACCATCCATATTTTTGTGGCGATACGAAGTTCGCTGGGTCAGCTAGTTTTTTTTAAACAGTGGCAAACAAGCCTCTAGTCCGCCTGATGGTAAGCGGCCACCATAGCCTAAAGACGCTTGCGATACAAAAAATATCACTCGCACCAGTGTCTACCCTGTCGCAATTCCTAACCCATGGAGCTCTGGAACCTTACTTATCGACGGAAACAGAACACCATCAATAGGTACAGGTTGCGGCACGTAACTTTAGCGCTGAACAAAACGCGCAGGGGATAGCTGCGCATGGTTACGACTGGAGAGCCAATTGGCGTAACGCACGCCGCTCACCCGCGCACCTCGTTTCCCCCCAAGACATCTTAATTTTTACTTCTGTTACAATAGCGGTCAGCGCTAGTTGTAGTGTTATTTTATTGCGTCTTAGTCATTCTTTTCATTATCTCTAGTTCATTGGTATGTCAGCTGATTCGATACTATTGATTGTGTCAACGCTTTTTGTAGTATGTGTTATGTTTGTTTTATTGTTTAATGTAAGTATTTCTAATGAGTTGTTAAATACAAAATTAAGTTTTCTGTTAACTTTAACCATGCAAAAATCTCACATGTAAAATGTGCTTAAAAAGGTTACGAAAGGTTTTTCATTCACGTAATCACAGACATATATTGAAAAATATACCGCAAGTGTATACTTCGCTTGCCAAAAACATTACAAAAGGTAGAATAAACGTCTTCCTTTTCAACTATTTTATTTCTTTTTATTACTATTCCCGATACGGATGCCAATCGCATTTTTTTCAATTGTTTAATTGTGCCACAATAAGCCGGACAAAATGATAAATGTGACCTGTAATTGTAAAACCTTAAGTTTTAATCCCAATGAATGGAATATAATCACGCAAACACTATGATCACGTGAAGGGCCACTATTAAAATAATGGAAAGTAGGGGCTGACAGGTCTCTAGTCTACTCTTGTTATGGCATTTGCCTCATTTAATGGAAACACAAAGGCATTCTAGCTAAAGCACATTATACGTGACTCCAATAAAACATTTTGTGATCATATCTTATTAGTACGACGAGATAATTGAATGACCACGATTTTGGATAATAAGTCTTATTTATAGGGTCTTTAGTTTTGATCTTGTTCACGATTTTATTATACAGAAAATAAAGATTTAATGTTGGCTCATTTATTTATAGGCGAGTGGTATTAAACGCTGGTCGATTGGTTGCTTGCTATGTTGTGTACCAAAGAAACTAGTTACATGAATAATAAAATTCTTTTTACTTCTTATTATAATAACGTGCTTAATGTATAAATTATACAAATGTTCACAGAACAATAAAATTTTACAATAATATAAATCAGAACCTACAGGTTTTCACATGCTAATCAGGTAGGTTTACAAATTAATTAAGTGCGGTTTAAAATCTAATGTTTAATAGGTAAATTGTTTTTGTTTGCATTGATATTGTATAAAGTTTATACAAGCCAACCGCTGATTATTTTTCTCGTACTTATGCAGCTAAAAATCTTGTAATGTGGCTTTCAAACCTCGTTCACGATTTGCACACATTACCCCATCCCTTCCTCCAGATTTAGTAAATCAAATTAACGTAAAGGCCAACTGGTCAATTGACCATAATGTCTGTAAAGAAATGTTTTTCTAGCTAAATTTTATTTAGATCAAACATCTCGCAGTTAAAAGTTTAAAATAAAAACTATAATAAATAAAGACTGGTTAGGATACTTTCGATTTATGCTCATGTAAAAGTCATGCTGTAAATTTATCCAACAAAATTTCGTTGTGTAGTGTACTCGTACCTCGTACGGAAGATCACAAATGTCCTATTTTTTATGGGAAATTACGTACAGTTGGCAACACTGGAAGAAACTAACATTTTCGGGAATAAAAAATATCTTATGTTTCAATCCAGGTCATAATATTATATCTTTAGGTATAATTTCACATTCTACGGGCGCGGGACAAAATCGCACCGTGAGATTCAGCCTTTATATGCAATACGTCAGTTCCTTAGGTTAGTCACTAACATATGACGCAATATCTATAATCTTACAATATTGTGGCATTACGTATCTAATGTTGTTAACAAAACATTCCATAATAATTTACACGAATTAATCTGAAGGCAAGGTATAATTAGATAATTTATAGTATGGGAAGCGGTAACAATGAAGATGCAGTTGATAATGAATTCACTTGAACTACAAAACATTTTGTCGATATCAATTATTATTATTCTAGCCACCGCAATTGTGTTGAGCCTAATTTTATCCCATTTATAGTAAGTATAGTAGTGCCTCTTAATAAATTAAATAAAAAACTAAAAAAATATTAAAATACAATAACATCCAATACTATACCATAAGTCTAATACAATTATTCAATAAACAAGATATCGACAGTTCAACCATTATTTTAGTTATGAGAACTAGCTGCAATGCTTTCTCGTAAGGAATGCACAAAATTGCACTGAGCTGTATGCTGTTTAAGTAATGCATAATTGAAGAAAATAATGAAATATGCTAATTTTTTGAATTTTGCTTCTTTGCACTATGGTATTTACCAGCTTGTCTATAATTGTATTTGCACACAACCCCGGTTGTTTAAAGGTAACCGTGATTTAAATATGCCCATTGGCAGATTGCATAAATCCCCTGCCTCTATGCCAACCGTTTCCCCATCTCAATCTGTAAATTCGAGCATCCAACCACTTTGGAAAATTCTTAGTAATTTCAAAAATAAACTTCCCGTTTTTAAAAGAATCCCCCGTTCGGCACGGCCTTCAGTCGCGGTTTCTTTATCAGAATGCATCGAGCACGTATTAAGAGTGAACATGTCTAATAGCTGGGCAGAACTCTTACCATTTAGTTACAGAATTCTACACATTAACCAAAATAGCACTTGTACCTTTCTAACACAAAAAATAAAGGAGAACTGCCGCCGAAGAATTCAGAATCTTCTTCTACCTTCGCCACCTTTAATACAAAATGCTCCCCATTTAATAACCAACGATGCTGGCATCTCGGCTGCAATCATCATCATCAGCCTATTAATGTCCCCACTGCTGGGGCACAGGCCTTCCCTATGGATGGAATAGGGAGATTGGGCCATGACCCACCACGCGGGCCCAGCGCGGATTGGTGGGTGCTAACGACTGCAAATGCAGCCGGGACCAACGGCTCAACGTACCTTCCGAAGCACGGAGGAGCTCGAGATAGTAAATTTTTGGTCACCCATCCAAAGACCGACCACTGCGAAAGTTGCTTAACTTCAACGATCGCAGCCGAACGCGCTAGCCACCTGCGCCATCGAGCTCCTCAATCTCTCGGCTGCAATACTATCCTTCAAAAGTGGCTCTGTCAGTGGTCTAGATGGGCTTTCACCTCAACATTTAAAAGACCTCATTTCCGTTTAAGTCGGTGACGCTGGCAGAGCCTTACTACATAATATAACTCTTTTGGTCAATTTAATGCTACCCGGCGAAGTTCCTGAAGATTTTGTTGAGATCTTTTCCTGAGCCAACTTAATTACATTAAGGAATAAAGACGGTGGCATTCGCCCTATAGCTATTGGCTCCACCTTTCGCCGTTTAGCATCCAAAATTTGTAGTCACCACACTTTACTACCAGTTTTAGCCGAATTCCCACCAGTTCTGCTTGGATTTGGCGTCAAGGTTGGTTGTGAAGCAGCTGTTCACGCTCTTCGCACCTATCTGTCGCTTGACGCAGCCGAGTTAGTGCTGAAGGTGGATGTCAAGAATGCATTCAACTCCGTAGATAGAGGTGCCTTGCTTTCAGCAATTCAAGACAAACCCCCACTATTTATAATTATATTTGGCAATATTACAGCAAACCAACTAAACTTCTTATCAAAAACAACCTGTTGTATTCATCTGTTGGTTGTCAGCAAGGCAAACCTCTCAGGCCCGCTATTTTAAGTTTGGCTATACAACCTATCATTGATTCACTAAATTCAATATTTATTATGTGGTACGACGGAACGGAACTATCACTGGCGATACTTCAACCGTTATTTCTGATTTTCACGTCTTTATTGATAAATTCAAAAGTATTGGCCTTGACTTAAATTATTCAAAATGCGAGCTATCCAGGAGCGGCGGCGGCCTCTGCTGGGTGCTCCAAGCGGCGCAAATATTCCGCTCTCAATGAGAAAGAACTACATATTTGTGCCGTTTGATGTTGAGAATATGGGCCCATGGGGTAAAAAGGGAACGAGCCTTTTTAAGGAACTGTCAAAAAGGCTCATTTAGGTGACTGGTGATCAAAAGGCAGGCAGCTATCTTGGTCAACGGATCAGCCTTGCCATCCAACGTAGCAATGCTGCCAGCCTATTGGTCACCATTCCTGACGACGGCGCTGGGGGTGACATATTTTTTATTCTGTAAATTATATATTAAGTAGTTAAGTAGATTAAGGTAATTTGGTTTATAAATTTTAGTCATCAAGTAGATTTTAAGTCAAAGTTTTAGTCATCAAAGTAGATTATAAATTTTAGTCATCAAGTAGATTTTAAGTTTTTGTTATTTAAATGTATTTACCTATTAATTAAACAGATAACATAGGTTAGTACTAAATGAATAAGTTAATAACAAGATTTTCGATTCGCGAATTTGGTTGAAAATTTCACTTCAAGCAGGAGAAGCAATGCGCCATAATGTTTAGGAGAGTGTTATAGCGTGTACAGTGTACAAAAAAGGAATAACGGATAAATCTAACGACTATTGGATCGTAAAGCGTGTTAGTCCATTAAACAATAAGTGGCAACGGTCGCTGCAGTTGCGTGGTACACCAGCTGTAACGTTTCCCTAAGAGGAATGCGCCAGATTGCTTAGGAGAAA